AATATGCCAACTGCAGTGGTAATAATTATTTCCCTGCTGCAACAGAAATACTTAAAATTAAGGTAATCAGCTACCTGGTATGCTGTACACAGATTTGCTATTATCATGATTTAAACTCTATTCAAACTGTCTTTCTACAAGCCCAGTTGCAAGTTCCCCAAAGTGTATTTAATTCTCCTTCATGACTAATCTGGACTAATCTTTGTAGAAATTCATGTGTGGCTTTGCCACCTGAATTTTTGGTTCAAATTAATTTACACTGGCAGCTCCTAAGCTTTCTTGGCCTTACAGGAAAACTTTCTGTTATCATGGAAAGTAGGCATTGATCTAGATTTTGACATTCTTTGGATTAACACTTACCACTTGACCTTACTTGTCCTGAAACAGCTTGGTTAGAGCTGAAGCAACAGGCTCTTGACAACAATATTTGGTATGGCCTAAGTAGAACCATATGCCTTGTACAGGGAAGGTCTGTTTGGAAAGCCCTCCTCCCATGCTAGCTAATATTCCTTGGCCAACTCACAAGAGAGTCCTTACTCTTATTCACTTTAAAGTTTTGTCATCCTTACTGCTGGAAGGAAGATTTAACAATATTCCTATGCAAGAAGAAATTTGCCCCTGTCTGTTGGGGGAAATAGAATCAGTTTCTCATTTGCTTTTGCACTCTATTTTTTATGCAGCTTGGTGAGCTGACCTAATAATGCTTCTGCTAACTCACAGTTATGGTAGCTCTGAGGAGGAGAATACTCTCCGTAGACAATCCATCTGAGACCTCCAGAGGGGTCCCCAAATTAATTAAGCAATTTGATGCTTAATAGTGCAATAACTGTTAATTTTACTTACAGTTTTATATTTTTAATACATTCCTTTAGTGTTTAAGCTTTAGTTGACATGTAACATTGTTTTTTGCTTGTTTTGGGTCAATAAAATTAAAAATTAAAACTGACCTTGTAGCTGTAATAATTTAGCCTGATTCATAACCTGGTAAGGCACGGTTAGGCTAATCATCATTTTTTAAAATAAACCCCAGTTGGGTGGGTTCATGCAACATACTAGGCCACAGATCATATTTTACAAATGACAGAGGGTAGTGTTCACCCAACACTCTGGACCAAGCCAAACCATATTATGGCTCAGGGCAATTTATGAAGCCAACCATTGTAATATATATTGTGCAAAGCCCATCTGAATATGTAACTTATTATATTCACTTGTACATTCATAAACATAGACATATTAGAGTTGCATGGACTTTCTCTGAATGTTCCTTTTTGACACAAATGCAGACTTCTTTGAAGTGCCTCCACAAAGCAATACCATCAGAGGAGAAAGGTCAATTACTTCATCTGGCAAAACAACTTTGGGCAAAGTCATTGTTCATGAAGCATTTGTGCCCATTGCAACTTGTCATTGATACAGAGCAATGCACTGTAGCAAGACACTTTGCACTGAGGTAGCGTATCATGCCACTGCAAGGTAAATCACCTTGCCAAGCTGGACTACCCTTGATCCACATTCGCATCTCACATATACAGATTAGGCCTGTGCCACCATCCTGTAAGGCATTTTGCTCTTCAACACCACAAAGCTTATGAAGCTATTCAAAACCTTGCCTTAACTGCTTCAATGTCCTTCCTATGTCTTCTGGACATCTTCACTTGGACCATACCATACAAGCCTACTTTAAATCCCTTGCTGCTTTTTAAACTGTACTTTTGACTTCAACAACTGATTCAGATATGCAATGGTTACCTAGCTGCATGTTTATGGAACAACTATATGAGCTAATTATTGGGTTAGCCGCTTTTTCAAGATGATGTCCATGTGTTTAGTATGGGTTTAACCACAATATATTATCATTCCTTTGGTAAATATTTGAAGTGTCACAGTTAAACTCCACTGCATACAATGAGTGGAAAGATGCTTAGACACTGTAGATAAATACAAATGAATTTGGATTTCATTGGCTTAAATCAAATGACAGACAGGGAAACATAACAAAAAAATACAGAATTAAAAAAGGACAAGGAGAAAAATATAAGGTGCGCATAATTTTATACAAGACTTTGCACAATGAAACTTTTTCTGATTCTGTTCTACCAGTGATCTCCCAAATTCATCCCAATATATCCTTCAGTTCCTCATAGCATTACGGAAGTAGGAATGCAAAGTGTATTATACCAGTAGGTAACACTATATTCAGCCCTTCATAAGAATGATCTTCACGTATCAAGAAATGCATAAAACACTCATTCCATCAAAATACTACACAAACATCAAAACATGGTGGGCAGAAAGTTTTTATAAACAAACATTTATTTTATGCATTAAAAAACAAATCTGTGCATTAAACAAAAGTAAAACTGTAACTACTTTCGACTTTACAATATTGGAAATTTAAATTTAACATTATATATTTTATCTCAATGATAGTATGCACAACATATTGTTTTAGAATATTTCATTAAAAACAAAAGGACAGATTCAAAATTATTTACCATTTTGAGTTTAAACATAAAAGATATACCAGAATATAATGTATTATTGTGACAAGTATGATTCCTAAGATTGGCAACAAAAATTTCTGTATTTAATGTTTTCTTTTTTTTTTCACAGCCACCAACTTGAGAAAGGTCTACTTATCTACCAGCTTTTGCTTCTGGAAGTTCAGAAAAAGAGTTAGATTTGTAAGGTTCACTGCATTCGGCGCTGGAAATAACCCTCGTGAGGCACGGACTTGAATGAAAGCTAGTTTACTCAGGCGTAATGGGTAGCAGTTACAGACAAAGCCAGGATTGGCTCGGCGCAGTTTCTTACAGTGTTTTATAGGGGTCCCCCCTTGACCTGTAGTACCCCTGGGTCTGCCCCTGCCCTTGTCCTGGGTCACCCCTCTGCTTGTTGTGATCTCCCTCCCCGCTCCTTAATGGCAGATTCAGTCAGGTTTCATTGTCCTCGTGATTGTTATCTTTTGTCCGCGTTGTCGATGTGCTTGTGGGGCTTTTCTCATGCGGATGAAATGGGGTTTCTTAAGTCATGTTCCAACTGGTCGCTGATTGCCTCCGGATCGCTGTATTCCTGAAGCATTGAAATCAGTGTTGCCCGGCGGGTCTGGGGAGCTGCCTGCACTACAATGTTGCCGGTTTCAATTAACTCTCGGCGATGTGTTAATTGCCGCCACCTGCCGGCAGTTAGTTTGCAGTTTGCCTTGTTTCCCTTCCCTGACCGCCTGTGCCTGAGGCGGTGAAATTGACTAGTGGTGGTGAAACTAAACAGTTGTGCTGGCTGTACTAGGCTGAATCTGACAAGATTTGCAGCAGATTTTCATATACATTTTTACATTGATTTGGAGAATGTATGAGTATCCAGGTGCACTAAACCCTAATTTTCAACATTTTTTACCATTGTCCATGTGAGCGAAGTAGATTTGGAATCCAAGGGTATCTAAAGGAATGGATATATTTCTTAGCCATTTTTTAGAGTTTCTTTTTTGCCAAATGTTCATTTTAATTCAAGAAACATCTTTCCTGTGAATTTTCACACAATCTAAAGAGGTAGAGTGCAGAAAGAGTTTTTCTGTCTCAGCAGTTATGTAATAACAACTTGTCTAAATCTCATTGTTTTAATAGAATTTATTACAAAAAATGTATTTAGGATCCTTGCTTGATATAACCTGAGGATATTAAATTAATCAGTCTGTACAGACACAGTAAACAAAACCATATCCTCAGATGATAAAAACTGCTAATTGCAAGGATCAAGAGCTCAAATAAGGAATCTTTATTTCCAGCTCATTCATCTATCTGATACTTGGTTTTCTTTCCAACAGCTTTCTTTTTTTTCCCCCTGATGCTCTTCAAAAGTATTGAGATATCCCAGCAGCAACAGAAATGATCTGTTGATATTCTGCTCTTAATTATATTTCATTTAAAATTTAATGCCTATTGATAGAACAGTGATGACATGGGTATCATTTCATTTTCTGAGCATAAAAATACTTTTAAAATATATGATTATATTTAGATTAAGTAAGCTGCCATAGCAAGTCACTCAAGGTACATTTAATAATGATCTAATTGTTAGATTTTAGGAATCTGAGATATAAAATGAACTGAAGCAAGAAATAGAGGACTGTTCAATCTTTATAAATTTAACATCCATGAAGTCAACCACAAAGTATACATGATGATACAACTTCTGCCTCAGGCTGTCAAAATAAATGGGAATACTTTTATTATGAGTTATGGGTGGGGGGGGGGGCAGGGTATCACTATACCATTCCAAAGGAGAAGAAACTTTCAGTATTGCTTTTATGATTTTTGGTATCACCAGCATAAATGAGTTTAAAGACAAGATACCTATCTGATATAGGCCTCTGGAAGTTACCATGTCCCTGGTGATTCTCTGTCAAACTAATAAACGTGTTCAACTGCTGTTCTGTTCATAGTAAGGAATATCATCTACATCTGAAAGAACACTACTTCAATTATTAGTCCCTCCATTAGTTTAACAGACAAATTTAGACTTGTTTTCCCTAGACTGTGCCACTGGTTAAATAAGTGAATCTGATCTGTTTCTCTTCTGATGTTGTTATTGTTAACATTGTGCTTTAAATGTCTGCTGAAGTTTTGCTTTTATGGATATGATTTAGTATTTATGGATTATCCACATGATGGTTTTTCTTGAAATAAACTGCCTTGAGTTAAATATTTCTGAAAAGCAGCTAATAAATTACCGAATGAACATAATAAATAAAAATGACAGACCAGTAAAAACAAAAAGCAGGCTTAGTGTATTTCTTTGCTTGGCAGAGTGCCATGCAGAGATAACAAATGCATTTGAAGTCATTACATTCCTGCTTCTCCTGTTAACAAGAAAACAAAGATCCAGGAATCTATTTCAACAGAAACTTCATTTTTTGTGATTATTTAATTTAATGTTTAATACAATGTCACCATAAAGCATTTCGATGCCATCAATTATTTATACATTTTTCCCCTTACCTGTGCTCCAACTCTCGTATGGACAGAATAACTCCAGATGTTGATGCCTGCTGCTGTAGGGTGGTCAGAAATGTGAATTCACTTTTGTTCCGGAAGAGCTGAATTAACTTATCGTTTGTATGGGACGCTGCATGGATTTCTCTATCTACAGCTAAAAAAGAATGATAAGAACTGTGAGGGAGGGGGGAAGAGACATAGCACTAAACTTTTCACATTGGAAAACATTAGGACAGGTTCATATTTTGGTTTCCCATGGAAACATTTTTCATTCTGGGAAACTTGCCCTTCCGTGCTAGTGCTGTATTCATGCAATGTGAAAACAGAAAACATCCTCTTTATCAGTTTACCCCATTTGTCACCGTGACAAGTTCACAATCAGGCATCTACTGATTTTCTGACAGAGTTTCTGACAGGGAATGATGAACCATTCAAGTATGCCACGAGCAGATTACATTGCTGATTCATGAGGTATGCTGAAACAAGATAATAGGCTCCAAATTTAGAGGGCCTGGTTGATCCCTGAGTCACTGGCAAAGCTGAAATTTCAATGTTACTACCGTCCTAGTTTTTCTCCTTCCATATTGAAATTGCTCCAGTGCTGGTGTGCTGGCAGAGATCCATTATGTCTAGCAACGCTCTCTCAGCATACTTGTTTCCCTCCCCTGTCCATGGATTTGTTTTAATACATCGTCATATATGATGCAGCTACTAGCGTGATGATTGTTTTGGAGACTTCTCTGTTTACAAACCACATATTGCTTTCATGCAGTATTTATTAAACTTCAACTTGATGTTTAGAGATGCACACCATTTCCTATCTGAGAAATGAAAGGAAAAAAAATACCCTCATTCAACTTTCAGTCACATTCTCTTTAGCCCTTTTTGGATGGGAAATAAAAACAACAAAAATGAAAGCAGCAGATAACAACAGCATCACTCACTCACCTTTTTACCTATACTTCAGTTTTAGTGCTTTTCATGTCCTAGCTTTGTCACAAAGGCGGGGGGGGGGGCTATGTTAGTTACAACTCCTGAATTTCATTAGTAGTTTGTTTTTTCCTTCAAGGCCAAAGAGTTTTCTCTAATTCCAGATGTTAGGAATAACATTCCAGGCAGGCCATTTTGGTAAATCTTCCTGCTGAGGAAAAGCTCATGCCAGCAAAACAGAAAAGGGGCCAATTCTCCTTTTCTCCTGCAGCCCCACATATGCTATGAAAAACCTGTTCTTTATAGTTGGGAAACTCAACAGCAGGTTGGCAGGAGAACAAAACAGAACAGTCCCATAGTAGAAGTGAAAATCTGTTCATGTAGTGTTCGATTTTGTCCCAAGGTGGTGTCCCAAACTGAACAAGGCCCTGCTTAAGCAGCATTAACTGCAGCTGGTCCTTTCAAAAGGCAGGTGTGTTGCATATGTGTATTTAAGCAGCCTTCTTGCGATAGCAGAATATTCTTGGTTAAATGGCCGGGATCATAGTAAATACGCTAAGACACACAATTGTTTTTACTTAGTATATTTCTATACCATTTATGCAGTTACATCTCAAGGCAGCTTATAAGATAAATAAAAACTATTCAAAGACAGGTATTAAATACAATACATTAAATTGATGTAAGAACAAGTGTATTAGTAATGGAGAAAGGAAAAAAGGAAAAAATATTTGTAATATTCACATAGGGAAGGCCTGAATGTCCTTCCACAGTCGTCCACAGGCACCTTAAATATGTAATAATAAGCACTTTGTGGATTTCAGTGGGAACAGATTAGAAGGTAATCTGTTCCATTTATTCTGGCAATAATTTGTTTAGTACTTTATACATCAGAAGTAAAGGCAGGGAGTCAAGCTTCTGAACAAGGACTCGGGAGATCCAAGTTGATGTCTCCTTTCAGTCATGAAAGCTCACTCCGTGACTTTGAGCCAGTCATTGTCTCTTAACCCAGCCTGCCTCACAGAACTGTGGTAGTTGTAGGAAAAACTGGAGGAGAAAATCCTGTGTACTCCACCTTGAGTTCCCCAGGCAAGGCAGAACATCAAACATAAACCAAATACATAAATAAACAAACTTTGAACTTAGCTCAGCAGCAGATCAACAATCAATGCAGTTGCTTCAACAAAGACGTAGTCAGGTGCTTCAGTCAACAACTTGGCTGCCACACATTGTAGCTTCTGGACCAAGTATGTAGGTAGAATGCATTGTGGTAATCAGCACAATGTGTAAGCCAGGAATTAGTTTTCAACTTTTATATCATCAAGCAATTACCAATCATATATGTCATCAAGCCCTGTAGATCAGCATTACATCAGAAAGAAGTAGATCACTCCTTATGTCTTTAGAGGGATTTGATTGTCATACATCATGGAAAACCATGAGTGTCTCGAGAATTTCAGGCAACAGATTATAACTATTCTCCCTCTATCTGGGGCCTTTTGCATGCAGGACATGTCCTTGCTTGAGGCCACTAACTGAATGGAAAGCAGTAAGATCAGAGCTCCAGACCTCCTATTTGACCCTATATTGATTGCTGCAATAGCCATTTTACAGAAGACATACCTACCTTTCTGAATCTGACATTAAACCATCAAGTCAAGAAAGCCTCACCTTCAGGGTATTAGCCTCGTAATCTTATCTATATAGCATTTGTTTGGTGTCTCTACCTGTGTAGCTCTACATTCAGCATATTACATGCCATGTAGACTGGCATGTAATAAAATGCAGACGCTTGAGTGGTGGCCAAATACAATGCACAAAGAAGGTTGGTTTAAATAAATACTATATTCCTCACAGCATATAATTAACTTCTGCTTAATGATTACATTCTTGTTTTCTTACAGAAAGATTAAATTGGTTATATTAATAGTAGCCAAAATTCACTGATACAAATATTCAGTTATTATTTTTCCCCAAACCATAATCAAGTCAAGTCTCTTTGTAAGTGATCATTTCATGTCCCAAAGACTTGACTTCTCACATTACTAAGCTCAGTTGAAGAGAATCAGTGCTATAAACTGACATTAAATTACTGAGTTCTCTATAAAACATTGCTTTAGGGAATGTGGATGTGCACATCACAAAAATATTTAGTGTCCTTGAAATCCAGAGAACTCATTTTTCAGGACCGTTCTTCATAATCAAAGAAACCAGGTTTCCTTTTTCCAGTTAGAGGCAGGGTCACTACCTCAGTTTTTCAAATCCAACTGAAAGGCGGAAAAAGAATTGGCCCACCTTTCAGAGACATTCCCTGTGAAGACTGCACACTCAGCACTCCTTCTGGAAAAGAAAGTGGTAGAACTCCAAAAATGTTATTGACCAATCTAATGGCATGTAATATAATATGTTCTCTCTCTCGCTCTGTGTATCTTATGTAATTGGTAGGGCTGTGTATTAGACTGGACCAAAGCCTTCATTCTGTGATTGATTGGGGTAATTCAGAAAGAATGTTCACTGGAGGGTTTTTTTTAAAAAAATTTGGTTTTGTTTGTTTTAAAAAGTAGGCTTTATGTAAGTGTAATTCAAAACCTTAATGTTGATTTCTATGAAATTTGGTTTGGTTCATCCTTTCATAATGGTATAATTTTTCCCTATGAATTTCATCCCATTCTAGTGCCATGCAATAAAGTTGTGATCCCTTTAGACCACTGGTTCTCAACGGGGGCGGTACCGCCCCCCGGGGGGCAGTGGGAGGATGCTGAGGGGCGGT